AGGTGTCCCTGCCCATGGCAGGGGGTGGGATTGGATGGGCTTTAAGATCCTCTCCATCCCAAACGATTCCATGATTCTGTGATTCAGTCCCACTTTCTCAAGCCCCTCTGTGCCCTTCCCAGCCCTGCTGGCTCCTGTGGCCCCCAGGGACCTCCCTGAGGGTCAGGGTCCGTTCTCATTCAACACATGAGACTCACAGAGCTGCAAGCAGCAGCGAGCAGAAAGCTTTGTCCTTACAGGAGAAAAGAGGGGAAGCTTGGATGGGACACACCAGCCCTGATGAGAGGAATTCCCAACTCCCTGAGCAGCTTCCTTCTGCTGGAGCTGTGCCCAGCATGAGGCCAGGCTCTGGATGGAGACCTTTTTTATCTGCTTTGCCCCACGGAGCTGATATTTTTGGGTCAGGCAGAGCCTCAGGATGAAAGTTTGATGTCTGGCTGTACCCATTGCTGCTCCCACCACCTCTCCACTGCCTCTAACACTGACCTCCAGCTGCTCCAGGCTGGTGGGACCTGCCAGGAATTTTGGCACCTTCCCCAGGGAGTAACCTTGGGCAAAAATCTGCCACCCTCACCTCTTATTCTCTTATCCTGCAAAGACTTTGGGGACCCTCCCTAGAGCTGAGCTGATGCTGAGCAATCCCACCCTCGACTCCATCAAAAGCAGGGCTGGGATGAGGCACAGCAAAACCATCTCTCCTCTCTTGTCCAGATTTTCCTCAAGCTGCCAAAAACTAGGGCAGCCACAGGCACATCATCTGCATTAAAAAAAAAAAAAAAAAAGAAAATCAGGAAGGCAGCTCCTAATGCTGCAAACTTCCCAGGAAAAGGAGATGGATTTATTCCCCTCTCAGCACTGTGGTTTGCAGGAAGTGCCTGTCCCCAAGGACAGCACCTGCAGCACAGGAATTCCCTGAGTGCCACCAGATCCTCCTGCTCCTTCCCATGAAATCCAGGAGCCTGGAGCTTCCCACTGCAGCCCTGTGCAGTTTGCTGGGTTTGGAGAACATGATTCCAAGGAAAAGAGCAGAAGCTGCTGCTTCCTGCATGTTAATAAGCACAAAACATATGCCTGTAATTCTGTGTATCAGACATGCAACAGCCTCAAAGAAACTGGAGCATTTGGAGCATTTTGGAGCTGCTTTGTTACATATTTCACCATTTATTGCTTAACACAGCCACAGCAGCAGCACCACTTTTATAAAGACAAGGTACAAGGCAAGTCCTTGAGTTTACAACTGCTTTTACAAAATGTTCTCAAAGCCCAAAATGCTCCAGAGCATCGCCCAGTGTTGTTTTCCTCTGATTTGCCAATTGTTCCCTTGATTAAAGGGGGAGGAGTAACCCATTAGACATGCAAAGTCAAAGATCACGGTGGTGTAACAGCACACAAAAAAAAAGTAGGGAGTAAAAAGGATCTGTGACAAACTGAGTTCACGTATTTTTGTCTTTTTTTCTCTGTGTGTATTTATCAGCTTCTACTAAAAAAAAAAAAAAAAAAAAAAAGGAAAAAGGAAAAATGCTTTTGGGTTTTGTGTTGTTTTTTTTTTTTTCTTAAAAAGTAAATGTCTTGGTAGTAACTGCCAGCTAGAACTCTGGAAACCTGCAGGATTTTCTGCAGTGGGGAGGGCTGGCACAAGTCTTGCAATCCCTGACAAAGTGGAGGCACTGGAAATGCTCCAAGAGCCATCCAGCCTGTGCTCCATCTGAAAGGACATCAATAAAACATGATCTGCTTCCCTTCAGCTGAGAGCGACTCATAAATAATAAAACTCTTAAGATGTGGAGTCCAACGTGAAACAGGAGGAGGAAAAACCCCTGGAAATGTTGTGGGAGGAGTTAATTTAGGAGCCCCTGTGGTTTGTTGAGTGCTTCCCTTCCCAAAGCATCCCCTGAGACAGCAGGGATGCCCTGGGGAGGAGACATGGCCCGAATGGCACCACACAAAGCCGGGCGTGGATGTGCTCCTCCTCCCTGTCCTGCACAGCCTGGGATGGCCCCTGGGGCTCTGCAGGCTCACCTGGTGGCACAGAACGAATGCCACGCTGTCAGAATGGTGCCAGAGCAGTTTGTTGTACAATTGGGAAGTGCAGGTGTGGGAGAAACCTTCAGGAGGGTTTCCCACACGCCTGAGAATCCCTGGATAAAAGCACTGCAGAGCCCTCGGAGGTCATGAAATTACAGAACAGTTGCTTTGGGTTGGAAGAGAACTTAATTCAGTTTAATGTACAGGACACCTTCCACTATCCCAGGTTGCTCCAAGTCCCATCCAACCTGACCTTGGACACTTCCAGGGATGGAACAGCCATAAATTCTTTGGGAAACCTCTGCTAAAGCTTCACCACCCTCACAGGGAAGAATTTCTTCCTAATATTTAACCTAAATTTCCCCTCTTTCAGTTCACACCCAGTCTCTGTCCCTGACCACTCCTTCCAGCATGGCCTCTTTCCAATAACCATAAGGATTCTGATTCTCCCAGCGATGAGAGGTGAAAATTTACCTGGAGAGATATAAATTGACTTTATGTTGCCTGTAAAGGAGAAGCTGTCACCTCTCACCGAGGCCATGCTCTGCCCCATGAGCAGCATGGGGTATATTAAGATTGGCAGCACATTTATTAATGCACCAGAGCTTCAGAGAGCAACACACTGGAGCATAAACAAGAGAAAATAGACACCTCCACTTGACTTCAATAAAGTCAGCAAAAAAGGGTCAGCAAGGGGTAAAAGGTTCAGGAGTGAAAACTGAGCCACAGACTTTCCTTGGTCACGGGTCAGAAAACAGAATTAAATAAATGATTAACAGCCTTGCTTGTACAAACTGAGATAAGTCAGTGCTGTAAAGAGCTCTGGGGATCTGCTGCCCAGAGGTGAAGGTTGTGTGGTGTTCCTACAATTGTCTTCAATGGATTAATGTCATGTTTTATTTGTGATAATAAAAGAGGGGCTGTTGCTGTGGCTGTGTCCATGCTTAAGCTCCTACCTGTAAAAAAAACACCCTGCTCTTGGGAAACTGCGTTTGATTAAGTTTGGGGAGATTTATTTTCTGCTCATTCCAAAGGATCTTCAAAGAAAGACTGGAATCTGAATCTTCATTTTTAATCTTTATTTCCTTTTGCATTGATTTTCATCTATTTTGTGGTTTTGGTTTTTTTCATCTCTCCTACTACGCACAGAAATATCACAAGTGGCATAACAGTGTCAGGCAGGAATATTTAAGCCTTATTTGAATTACACTTTATTTACTAATTAGGATATGTTTTGCATTTTAAGCAAACATTCATTTCTTTCCTGTTTGTTTGACTCTTTTTCTCTCAGGGATTGCTTGAAAGATCCACAAGCCTGAAAAATTCACTTTTTGTATCTGCAGCTTCAATGGTGTTTTCTACAGCAACAGCCGAGCTTGGGCTGCAAATTTCAAATGTTTTCAAGCACGTTTTAGTGCAGTCTGCACTCAGATCCATTGAGGGAAATCACAGAGCCTTCAAACAGTCTGGGTGGGAAGGAACCTTAAAAACCTGGTTCTACCCCCCTGCCATGGCAGGGACACCTTCCACTGTCCCAGGGTGCTCCAATCCCATCCAGCCTGGCCTTGGACACTTCCAAAAATCCAGGAGCAGCCACAGCTTCTCTGGGCACCCTGTGCCCACCCTCACAGGGAAGGATTCCTTCCCAAAATCCCATTTAAATTAACCCACAGCAAACTTCTGAGAAGGACAAGACACCAGGTTGGCTCTCTGGTGCCACTTAACACATTGAGTTTTCATCTTTTCATCTACTTTCGTTCTTCAGCTGCCCCCAAAATCCCAAAACTGGCACTGAGATCTTGATTTTTTAATGACTACTGGAAGTATAGGGAAATTCAAAGGGGCTCCAGGGTTGCTAATCTAGACAAAAAGGGGTGGCTGATATGGAAAAAAGCCCAAACTTTGTGATTGGAAGCCCGAGAATCCTGGCACTCCGCAAGAAGTGGGAAAGAGGATCAGGCAATGCACTCATCCATTGCTGTGACAGCTTCTCTACAGCTTGTTCAGCACTTTCCATGTGAAGGAGCCTCGTGTATTTGTCACAGGAGCTGTCCCCAGAATCTCAGAATGCTGCTCAGCCTGCTATCAGCACATCCCCCTCAACCCTCACGGTGGGAAAACAGAGACAAATGAATGCTCTGCTCAAAAGGAGCTGCAGTGCTGGGAGATGGGACACAGCTCTGCAAAGAGCAGGTCTGGGCCAAAACAGATGCAAACGTTGGTCCAAGAGGGTGAAAAATCATCCTCTGCACCATTCCTGGGCTGGGCAGGAGGGAGGAGTGATGCCCTGAAGGACAGCACCACTCCTTTCTCCACCTTGGGATGCTCTTCAGGCTCTTTTTGCTTCTCCTGGTGACACCACCAGCGTCAGTCACAGCAAGGATCCCTGAGGATGGAGACAGACACACGGACACCTCCTAGAGCTGCCACACAGCTCCCTGTGAATGCCATGCCAAAAGGGTGCTGCTCTGACTCCCATCAGCAAGAAAACGTGCTGCACCCATCCCAGATCCAAAAGGAGATCATTAAAAGGAGGGAGAACAACTTTAAAAATGTGTAGATAGCGACAGGACAGCAAGGAATTGTTTTAAATGAAAAGATGGGAGGTTTAGGTGAGGTGTTGGGGTGTTTGGGTTTTCTTTCACCCTGAGTAAGCTGAGGAGAAGAAATCACCCCCTGGCTGGCAGGGATAAGCTGGGAACAAGAAGATGCTGAGTAGCACTGCCTGTTTAAGTTTGGCCCAATGAATGAGCCAGCACTGAGGTACAAGTTTTAGAGTTTTATCAAAAGTAGACAGGCCTGAAGCAGAGCTCTCCAGCTGCAAAGAGGAGTGGAAGGAGGAATCTCTTGCCAAGAGGATGCTCTGGACTTGTATCCAGAGTCACCAGCAGTGAGGCCCAAAAGTTTTGAACAATTTTTGAGGAAACACCCCTGTAGCTCCAGACCCTTCTGTCATGGTTTCCCTTTCCAGGTAGTCCTGTGCTCAGCAAAGGGGAGACTCCTCTTCTTCCTCCCTTCCTGACTGAACACCAGCGTCCTCTTCTCTCCCCACCTGCCCCACTGTGCCCCCAAATCCTCCTGGTTCTTTGTGCTTTTCAGCTTGAGCCCCCAAAATCCTCCTGAGCTCTCGCCAGGACCAGCAGCTTTCAGCATCTCTCCATCACTGGACAGGAATCAGATGTGAGCCAGATGTTTCCTGGAGGAGCTGCCAGCCACACTCACTCACACTCTTCTTCCTGGCAGGAACATCACAGCTTTTCCCTGCTTGGTCTCAGCCTCCACGGTGCCCTACAGGAGTTTCTTCCTTTTCTCTTAGTGATGCTCAAATGGCTGCTCCAGAGAGCTCCAGAGAGCTCCAGAGAGCTCCAGACAAGCTCCAGGCAGCTCCAGAGAGTTCCAGGCAGCTCCAGAGAGCTCCAGAGAGCTCCAGAGAGCTCCAGGCAGCTCCAGAGACTTCCAGAGAGCTCCAGTCAATTCCAGAGATTTGCCCTAATCCAGGGAAGTCTCATTTTCTCTGTGTAATTTCAGCTCCAATGTCATAACACCCCGATAATGTATCAGAGCTGGCATGTCTCCTTCAGCTCTGTTTTTGCCCTGACATCTCATCCTGATGCAATGAGAGGAACAGCCCAGGAGATTTTCCCAGTTTTCCCAGTTTTTCCCAGCTCCTGGGTCCCACTGCTGAGGAGTCTTTGATCACTGTTAATGAGGTTGGCTCAGCAAAATTCACCAAATTGTAATGCAATTAGCAGGGGAGTAACTGAATTGGCTTTATTGGCTCTCCTCTGGGAACACACAACGTTCCCTCAAGGCGTTTTGTGTAACTCCACAGCTTCAGACACTCTGCCACATACCCCAGATCAGAAACTGAGAGAAGTTTAATCACGTTTTTCTTCCTAAATTGCAGCTTGCAGGTAACGTGGTGACCTATGGCTGGAAATCTTCTCGACAAAGGCTCTTGATTTATTTTGATGAAGATGGATAAGCCCATCGTGTATTCCCAGCACAGGAGGGCATTTTAGGATTCATATCATCACTGTGAGATGTGCCTCTGGTGGTATCATCACAATTTCCAAATGCAGGCAGAGAAGGACTGGATGGGGACCATTAAATCCCTTTTCTGATTACAGGTCTCAGAGGGGAAATGTTGCAGCTTATTCAGCAGTTTGGACGTTTGGTTTCCTCTTACTTTTTCCTTTTCTCATTTTATCTCCACCAATGGCAAAATAAGGATAAAAGGAGGACAGGGCAGAAAAAATATAAACCTTGTACCTCCAGCCCAAGATGGGTGAGCACTCATTGTTCACTCATTATGTATTGGCTACTTAACTTTTATTTTTTGTGGATATAGAATGTGTTTGTACATAATCAATCATGACAGCAATCTCTCTCAGATGAGTCCCTCCCCTATTCCAGGTGTATTTTCATTTGCCAAGTTGAAAGGCTGGTGTTGAAAAGTCAGAAAACTTTCCACCATAAAATAAAAAATAAAATAAAATAAAATAAAATAAAATAAAATAAAATAAAATAAAATAAAATAAAATAAAATAAAATAAAATAATAAAATCCTCTTCACTGCTGCTCATGTAATTTCCAGTATCCCAGAGGAGCAGCAGGGAGCTGAGCTCAGCACAAGCTGTCCTGGTTTGTCTAGACGTGTATTAGCATACAAAAGATTAAAGATGCAGTGGATATTTTGGATCCTGCAATGTGCTGTGGACCAAATTCTCTGCAGTTACTGCTCTCCTGAAAGCCTGGGGAAGTTGCAGCTCTGATGGCAGCAGGGAAGGTGAGGGTGGGAGCCTCCTTCTGGGTGTGACATCTCTAAAATGCAAATATTTAAGCCTGAGATTGTCCCCCCAGTTTCCTTCTGTAGTCAAGAGAGAGAAATGGTCCCATCCAGAGAGGAATTCACCTCACCCTAAAATAAGAAACCAAGGTCAGTGTGAGCAAGAGCCTTTGGCTCATCATTGCCAGGATGAGGAATCCAGGTGCAGGAACTCACCTGACTTCCAGATGCACAAAATGAAGATAAAACCTCTCTGTTCCTCCCCAGAACATCACGGGAAGGGACCAGACCCTCCTGTTCCACATCACTGCCCCCCACACCCCAGGGATGAGAACAAAGGAACATTCCTTTCTCATCTCTGAAGGGAATGTCAGGCTCTTCCCCACCCCTTGGGGCTGAGGGAGAAACCAACATCTGCGTGCTCAGGATGGCTGCTCAGCTACAGCAATAAAAGGACAACTTCAAGGTTTTTTGGGAGAAAATTATCTTCCTGGGAAATCTGAACCTGAGTAATCCACCAGATCACCTCCCTGAAGCAACATCCCAAGGCCTCTCCACAGCCCTCGCTGACAGAACAGATGGAATCCAGGCTTTCCTGGATGTTTCAGCCGTGCTTTTCCTTCCTGCCCTCAGGAACAGGTCTGCAGGATCAGCTCAGGTGTGTACGAAGATGATCTTGGCTGGATCACATTCCCCATCCAAAGAGCTGCAGGATTCCAGCACTGGCAGCTCTGGGTCCCTCTCCTGCAGGGCACAATTCCAGCCTGAGCTGAAATCAAAGCCAGAGCGACTCCTTTGTGCTCAGAGGCATTCACTGGAAGTTCATCTCTTTTCCCAGCAGCAGGAAAATCCCTTCACTTGTGGCTGAGAGGCTTTTTGATCAGCCCGAGGCAGGTGTCTCACAGTGCAAACCCCTCTGCCTGCTCCAGGTGCAGCTTTACAGGCTTGCTGTGCTTTGTTTTCCACGCCCAGGTTGTTTTCTTACAAAGCAGCACTGCAAAATGGGACAATTCACACTCTGCCAGAGCCCATCAGGGAACTTTCCAGCCTCTGTGAGTCTTGCCACGTCTCCTTATTTTTTAATCACAGGATGGTTTGGGTTGGAAGGGTCTGCAAAGATCATCCAGTGCCACCCCTGCTATGGCAGGGACACCTTCCACTATCCCAAGTGGCTCCAAGCCCCAGCCTTGGACACTTCCAGGGATCCAGGGGCAGCCACAGCTTCTCTGGGAACCTGTGCCAGGTCCTCACCACCCTCCCAGCCAGGAATCCCTTCCCAATATCCCACCTAATCCTGCCCTTTTTCAGCCTGAAGCCATTCCCTGTGTCCTGTCCCTCCGTGCCTTGTCCCCAGTCCCTCTCCAGCTCTCCTGGCAGGGGCTCTGAGCTCTTCCTGGAGCCTTCTCTTCTCCAGGTGAGCACCCCCAGCTCTCCCAGCCTGGTTCCAGAGGGTCTCCAGCCCTTGGAGCATCTCCATGGCCTCCTCTGGATTGGCTCCAGGTCCATCTGACACAGAGCTGGACACAGCAGAGCAGAGGGGCAGAATCCCCTCCCTCCACCTCTGCCCAGGTGTTTTTGAGGCAGCCCAGGGCACAGTTGGCTCCCAGGGCTGCAAATCCACACGGCTGGGGCTCATCCAGCTCCTCATCCATAGAAACTCCCAGCCTCCAACATCCCCTGGTCCTCAGAAAGGAGGGAATAAATAATCTTTGCTAATAAATAATCTTTGCTGTACAATAGCTGGTTTGCATTTGTGCTCTGGGCATTTCTGTGAACATTTCAGCACTCAGACCTTGGCCAGGTCACACAGCTGGGACACAGAGCTGTCCCCACCACCCTGGGATTTGGGACACTCCCAAAGGAGAAGAAATGTGGAGAAGAGCAGGTGACAGCAGCCTATGACACACCCGTGTTCCTGTGTTGTTCTCCTAAATGAGCAATTTCCAAACAAAAGGAAAAGGAGCATTCTTAAAGAGTTCAGATGTTTTGATGACATTTTTGAAAGAACCTATTTCCACCCACACAAGTTGTTCATTTGGAAAATTTCCCTAATTGCTCTTTTGTTATCTTAATTCTCCAACTTTGATCAGAGCACTTTGATGCAAATGAAATGTTTTATTCCGGGGGTTGCAGTAGCTCAAAACACTGCTTTCCCTAATTACCCTGATTGCAGAGTCAGGGCAATCTGCCTGCCTGGCACAGGAGGTGACAAATGGCCGAGTCACAGCTGAGGCACAGAGGTCACCACGACTTCCCAGCCAGGATAAAGCCAAAATGTGGTTCTGGTTTGGCTGCTCTTGAGAGACAGGCAATGGAGATGGGCTTGAGAGTCAGGGCTTAATTCCAGCTCTTCCCTCAGGGTCTCCTTGAGGTTTGGATGCCTCTCCCTGAGCTCCTCAGCCCACCAAGGGGACAATTCACCTTATCTGTAACAGGACACATAAATAGGTCAAGCATATTGCTCCCTAAAAGTACCAGCTTCTTCCCTAAATCCATTATCAGAGCCCAGGGATAGAATTTATTCACCTAAAATCAGGTTTTAATGTTATTGGAGAGCCATGGGGCTCCAGTGTGTGCTCAGCTGCCACTGCAGCAGGCACTGAGCATCTTGTGCACCCTGCCTGTCCCATACATGTATTTAAAATACCCCAAATGGTGTGAAAAGGTACCAAACACATGTTTAGAGCTGATCACAAACTTCAAGAGACAGAGAAAACCATAATTCTCTGTAGTTTGCTCTAATGAGTGAACTGCTCTCACATTTCATATTTTTCTCCTGGCTTTTTTGTGTTCTTGTTTAGATTAAAGAGCCCATTTTGCATCCCAGCCCTCCCTGTCAGTGATGTCCTTTTAAAGACAGCAATCAATCCCCCTCTGCACAGACTGTTTGGGAGGTCTTACTGCAAGATTTACTTTCAAAATTGTGAAATAATTCCCATGGGAGGCAGAAAGAGGCAGAGTAGGGCAAAAATAAATTTGAATGGAAGCTGTTTCTTGAAGAGAATTCAATCCCAGGCAAAGCACAGAACTCACGGGATGCAGAACTGTACAAAAAATCTTCTTAAAAACAAATTTCTGGTTCTTCCTACCATCATTTCCAGGACTGAATGCTGTCCTGGCATTTTAAGAATGGATATTATTCCATGCAATGCAGGGAATTTCCTCTTACATCTTGGCCATCACAATCAAGGTGAGCTCACTAATAAAGGAGTTTTTTAGTTCCTCCAGACTGGGAAAAACTCAGCACAGGGAAAGGGAGCTCTGCCAAACCAGCCAAACAGTCGAGGGGAAATTAATTTGTTAAGGCCCTGATGGCTTTTATTACCAAGCTTTCAACCTCTGTGACTTCCAACAGGAGGAGCAGAGATTTTATTACAGGTGTAAGCTAATGCAGGGAAGTAATTATGTTAATGAAGAAGGCAAAGAGCTTGGTGAGGCAGAGCCAGGGGAATGAATGAGCTCAGGACACCATTTAGCAGGGCACAGGTGGCAAATGTCACCAGGGAATGAGGGATCTGCACCAGCACCTCAGGAACAGAGGAGCAACCAATGTTTGCTGCTCTGAAAAGAAAAAATTAAAAATAAGGATGTAGAGGAACTGGTCAGTGATCTGCAAAATATTCAGTTTGTTGCTTCAAATTCTATCTGAAGGTCATAAACCTACTGATACATGGTTGAATGCCACATAACTGCCTAAAAAATGTCATCAGAAAATGAACTGGCCTCTGGAAGTTTCTGCTCTGGTGTAGAAAGAGCCTGGGTGACTCATTTGAAATTGTCTGTTATCTTTTTAACATCTGATATTAGACCAAAACTGTTCTTCCCCTCTTGTTTCAGTAGGTAAAAGGATGGGCAGAGGAAATGATGGATCTGTTACAGAGAATGCTTGTGTGCCTGAGCCAAGGAGGATGAGCACCTCCCTGATGTGCTGAGTGACTTTTTGTGTTTGTTTTTGCCTTAATGAAACATTTTTCATTTGAAGATGTGCCTGCTCATTGCAAGGGTGTTGTAGATGACCTTTAGAGATCTTTTCCAACTCAAATTCTTCCCTGGTTCTGTGATTTGGCTTCAAAATCAAGCCTTCCCTCACCAGACAGGTCTTTCCTGTGTGTTTGCAAGACTGATGAAACCACTCTTCTCCAAAAAAAGAATATTTCAAAAATCCCTCTACTGCTGGAACCCTGGAAACTGGGAATTTTAAACTTTCTGTGCTGACAGGCACTGACCCCCAAGAAAACACAGTTTTTGACCTGAGGCCGTTGGAGAAGGCTTCCAAAATTGAATGATAAAACAAGGATTATAAGTGTGTAGTTTAAATAGAAATATGTAATACCACATGGTGAAAAAACTTAGATTTTAAGGTTTTAGAATGTAGTGATAAATAAAGTGATAAAGCAAGATGAAGGTTTTAGGGTGGGAGGTTTTGTCTTTCTTCTTCACCTTCTTCTTCATGGGTCCAGGTGATATTTTGTAATTGGATAGAAAAGTCCACATTGCCATGGGTGGTTGGTTATTGGGTTAAAAGTAAAAATAATTTAGGTATCACTTCTTAATTGGACAATTCGCCCTTTAAAGGCCTTGTAGAGAGAGACATACATCTCCATTTTTAGTTTGTTAGCTTGAAGTGCTGTAGAACTCACAGTTTGTGAGACTGTAATATAGATAAGAATTAATAAACATCTGAGTCTGAACAAGTTCCTTCTTTGTCAATAAAAAAACCCTCAATAAATGGGTCCAAAGGAGGATAAAAAAATCATCTTTCCCCAGTCTGACCCTCCCCAGCAGGCACCACATCAACTCCAGCTAACTCCACAGGATGTCCACTCCATGCCAACCCTTGCAGCCACCTCCTGCCAGCCCCTGGCACCCTCACAGGGCCACAGGAGCAGCCCCACTGCTGTCCCCAAGCTCCTGAGCATCCCTGACAACACCTTCACAACCTGCCCTGCCCTGCTGTGGGACTCCTTGGCAAAGGGATCTCACATCACAAGGCTTTGATGAGCAGTGCTTTTTAAT